TTGGCATTTTGCATATACAATAAATCTTTTTTAAAAGATAGAGGTTTTTTACTGAGGATTTTTTAAGGTTTATATAAATATATTACTGCTGCGCATGAGTCACGGATTAACGAATTATTGCATGTCTCCTTTGTTTATTTACTTTAACGCACGATAAAATAGAACATTTCGATGGAATGACATCCAATTTTGAAACTGCCATCTATGTAATTTTATAATATCCCTAATAATGTCTCAAAGAAAAATTTATGTGTTTTTTACTGAAGTTATGTTACGGAGAAAAATTTCCAATAGGATTATTGCATGGTTTATTTATTTATTCTGTACCTACATGAACTTGTTTTGTGGATAAATGTATCTGTTATGTGTGACAATTTGATTCTTATTAATAAAAAAGAAGTTCCATCAAAGGATAATAATTTATCCCTTTGTAATGATAGAAAAGATAACGGTTAATATCCAACTATGAAAACTCTCTAGATAATGTGATTCTTTGTTCCGTGCATATTGACAACTGTATTTGTACTTAATATCGCTGACGATGTTTGACCATCTATACTATTAAGAATGTCTTTGTATCTATATTTACTAATAAGCAAATTTTTTTTATTAGCTGTCCTACTCGCAAAAAATTCGCGCTGCAAACGTTGTGCAAATCAGAAATAGAATCGCAGTTTAAAACCCGGATCGCCGAATCATACCGATACAGTACCACGTCATCAATGAAGCACGTGTTACACGGAGTTTTGAAGAAATGTACGGAACCAGAAAACAGACCAACTTTGAGAATTTATCACATCTATCTACTTTTCCAATGGTTATTGGAAGCTGAAATTAAAGTGTATTGATTAAATTAGAGAAAATAGAGTCTCAAGCAAAAAATTTCTACAAACATAAACAAAAGTTTACACAATCGAGTATTCCCAAGTGATACAGGTGCATGTATTTGTTTTATATTCAATAAAAGTGACATTTCAGATTGTTATAAATATATCAAATTTTTGGGTTCTACAAGTGCTAGTTTGCATGTTCTAAATGAAAGTAAAATCACTATTACCGCAAAATTATAATGTAAAACTTTATAAGTATGTGCATAGAAACTGTGCTTATGAATTCTTTTTTTAAATTAGAAAGAGAGATGCGCTTGCGCAGACTAAATTCTATTACATAAAAATACTTAAGATCTTCAAAGCAGATTGTAAGTTTCACAAATATTCGTATGTTAATAATTGTAACAGACTAAGATGAAACTTTGACCTATTTTGATTAAAATGAAATTTGATCCTTTTTCAGGGCGGAAAAGTGTTACATATAACTTTGATTATAAAGTATACGTAATACACGTATATTCTCTATCACTATGATTATTTAAATAACCTACTCTCCTTCATTTAATCTGATTTCGTTTTAATCCGTCAAATAATTAATAGTATAAAATATAAAATAGTTATTTTTCTAAAACGTGAGCAAAATTTTCATAATTAGAAATATTTTTTTCTTCGTGTATTGTGAGTTTATGACATAATATCTTTGATTACAAGTTTATGATTAAAAATCAACTATTATACTCTAAACTTTATAATAAATAGTATGTTATTTAATAAGAAAAGTAACAATAAAGGGATTTGATTATATCAAATGTACTGATGCAACAAAATATTCTAAGCAATATCCTGCTTTAAATTAAAATAAACAATTTGAGAACCGAAGGAAATTCTCTTTTCATATCATTAATAATATTCACTCATATTTACTCCATTTTGAATATGTTTCTTCTAAACTAGAAATAATTGGATTGAAAGTTTGTAGATCTCGGATTCACGATAGAAGTGATTACGTATTGAATTTTTTCTATATTTCGTTAAAACTGCATGCTAGATAAAATCATTATTAAGCGCGCGTGTACAAATACAATAGAGAAAGTTGTGCACCGAAATTTTGTTGATACCAAAGAATATTGGTGTAAGTTGCATATAATAAAAACTGTTATTGAACGCGTGTACAAATATAATAGAGAAAATTGTGCACCGAAATTTGTTGATACCAAGAAAATTGGTGTAAGTTGCATATAATAAAACTGTTGCACAGCATCCAATACGACAGGTTTAGCGGCATAGGATACTGAGAAATTTTTGGATCGAAAAGTGACCTTTTAATTTCTTGTGAGACTTTGATAATTTGTGCCCATTGTTATTCCTTTTAAGGTCGAATTCAAAACATGTATGATATACCGATACGCAGATGTTCTCTCACGGCACATGTACCGATACGCCATATTGTTAATTTACGTGTTCTTAATAGTAAATTTATCATTATGCTGTGCTGTTGATAAATCAATAAGTTATGTTAGATTTAAAATATGAAACATATTGATTACATAAAAAGTAAAAAGAGATATTTCTAAAAATGCGCTGTTTATAAAATGAAAATAACAAACTTCTTTGTTAAAAAATACAGAAGTTCAATGTCTTGAATTCCGTATAAAATTCTTATGCTCTCTCCCAGTACCCAGTAAAGTACCTCATTTCCATCAATAAAAATCGCTGAAACCGTGAAAAATTTCAGTACTATTAAATAGCAAAATCAAGCATTCTTGAATGATAACATTAATTATGAACGGCAATTTAACTTTAAACAGCTTAAAATTTGAATTTTTTCTTTAAAAAACCCCTTTAAGAAATACTATTGCCAGACAGAAGTTTACCGATCTTATTTGCTGATCAAACGCTACTGCGTGTTACTTTTCATAGTAATTTACTAAATTGGATCGATAAAGTCATGATATGACTATTAAAATATATTTTAGGATCGCAGAAATAGAGAGATAAATTGTTTGTAAAATTGACTCACCGACACTTTAATTAATACTCGAAGATATATTTAAACATCCATTTTTGTATTGGTGCCTCCCTTAAGTTGGAAGTATGATAAGAGCAGTGTCTTTTATCACCTGATTTTGATTTACTATAATATTAACACCCCGTGCTTTATGATATCACTATATTAGTACTTATACAATGTAAAATTGTCATTAATTATATTGATAAATGATAATATCAATTTATAAGAACTATAATCGAACTAGATTTATTTGGCCATTAACAAATTTACAACTTTTAGTAAATAAAATCGATTTCAATATATATATATATATGTTTATTTGAAAAATTCCTTCGTTGGAATGAAGCAATGTAAATATATCTATCTTTTATATATTCTCATTACTACGTTTTACGATTGGATTATAAAACGCTTTTATATGAATCGAAATATCTTTGTACTTCAATACTATATTTAGTAATCAATCCCAAAAAATATAAATAGGGGAGCTTGAACTCAAACATCTTTCCAACAATTAATTAATTGCAAAAGTTTCCTATGCCGTTTAAAAGGTTGCTTAAAAATTTGCTTTTCAAACTAAATCCACAGAGATGGATTCTAACACAATTATCGCAAGATTTTCAAATGGTGCTGTTGAAGTACCAGTTCCATCCCCCGCTACTGCCAGAAATTTGATAAATAACTCAATAATAGAAAGTAGAACAATTTTAACCAATACGAAAACTAATTCTCAATACACAAAAAGCTCTTATTATCTATTTCTACTATCACTAGAGAATCAATTAAATTCGGCTTCAGCATTATCAAAGAAAGCTCTTTTAAATGATCTTGTTTTGGTGGCGACTTTCAATTGGAAAAATGCACCTGAAGAGTATCGATGGCGTTTTGATCAATTAGCTGAGTTAATTAATGGAGACGCTAATCATTTATATAGAACAGTAAAATTAATCCTAAAGATTAAGAAATTTCTAAAGAGACTTACTAAACCTGAAACGTACAAATCACCTCGATTAAACATATCAAAGTTTTCATCAAAATACCCTCAAAAAAGACGCCGAGGTTTCAAAATTAGAAAATTTCTTGATGAATGTTATGCATTCCGCATCTTCTCAATTGCGCCAGCAACAAATTATCAGGCAAACAGACTAAGTAACAGAATTGCCTAATTCTAGTCCTTTATTCACATATATTGAATTTAGAACAATAATTTTTATCCACACAATTACCATGTATTTATTATTTAATGAACATTAATAATATTATATCATTATTAAACTTAATACATTAATAGCATTCGACTTCCTCTTACAAAGTATTTATTCAAATAATATTCAATAAAACAGGGATATTAATAATATCGATATGTTGCTAGATTTATTTGCATGTTAAATATAAACTAGCATACGTTTTACTTTCTATACGTATCTTTAATAGATATTGTAAAGGGATTTTTATTCATATGTCAGTTTTATATTAAAATTCAAGCCAATTAATATATGATATTATACATTAACATTGTCTAAATAAGGGAATTTTTGAATGTAAGTCCATCCATCATCCGATAATACGTAATTCCAAGGAAGATGACTAATAATAATCTCGTTAACCTGAGCTTTTTTTTACTGTCACGATGTTTATGTGTCATTGCGTAGAGAATTCTGGCAACCTATTTATAAATCCGCTAAAAAATATATATTCATTTTTTTGCCAAATTTATATATTCACTTTTAACCGATAAAACTTCTAAATTCTTTTTTCATTTTCTAGAATTTATTGGCCATTTTGTACGAGGAAAGATGTATTGTATCAAATTTGTTACGATGAATTGGTGAAAGTTTAGCTCCTTAAAAGCCACTCAGTCATGCTGCGATAATTCTCATTACGTTTTACGTAGGTATTTACTGCGCACAATGACAAATTTACAAGTTTTACTAATAATATCTAAACAACGACGACGACAAAAGTATGTATTGAAATAAAGAAATGACAAAAGGCAAAATTTGCTTATATATAAATGTTGCTACGCAATTGAAACCAAAACCTCGCTGTATAACAAATCATTCCGTTCTGTCTGAATGGTATAGGCAATTCCATTAAAACAAACACAAGCTTCATAAGTGTTCACTAGTTCCATAAAAATCATTCATTATGAGCCGAATCCGTTATATCGGTTGTCCATCCCTATCGCATATCGGTGCAAAAATTAATCGGTAATTTATCAAATAAGGAGGTGCACAACGTTTACTGGCTTCCAATCCTGTAAGGCATTTATTAGCGTTAGCGCATATCGATATTCAAACCATTTGAAATTCAAAATTAAAAAAATTTGCAATTGCCAATGCACTTCATGATGAAACCAACCAAATGTAAAGTAGAAAATGCAGAATTTATTTATTTTTGTTAATTTATACATATGATATATTTATGAAACAATGTGATTTATATTTCCTAAGTCTTAGATAGATGAGTGCACTATCGTTATACTATAAGTATACGACAAATACAATGCAAGGATAGTACAAGAAACCCAAGGGACCAGTCTAGTTGTGCTGTACAAATTTGATGAAAATGCAAAATGTGTATGATTCTATCATTGAAATTGGATGTAAAATGCAAAAAGTGTATATGTATATAATGAATGAAAATGCAAAAAAGTGTTTGTGTATATATATAAAATGCGAATGAAAAAATGAGAAAATAGCGATACATTGGAATAATATGCAATATAACATGAAGTTGAAATAGCCGTTGCGTCGAATTTAGATTAACCGTCAATAACGTAAATAAAAAGAGAGGAAACTTTAGCGGCTGCGTGACGTGCAGTATTTTTAAGAGAGTTTCAACATCTTTTTAAAAACCTTTATTATGGTTTGGTTCTTCTTTCCGGTAACTTTTGCGGTATTTAGTTCTTCCTCGTCCGACAACGACGAATTTGAAGAATCGTCGCTCATTGCTCTTGTTTCTTCAATTTTCGCCTGAATTTCTGACTGAAGACGTTTTATTGCATCTTCGACGTCTTCTTCAATAATAAAGTCACCAAAAAATTTGGAGAAACTGTCCGGTGCATATATTTCGTCTTCTTCATAGTCTTGTGTGAAAAAATCGGTGCTTCTTTCTTGATTTGTTGGTAGTACTTTGGTACTGCGTCCCAATGTTTTGAGCGTGTCGTATACAAGAGCTTTGTTATTTACATGCGACATTTTTTGTAATAAAATATAGATGAAAATTTAAAAAAAAATTGACGAGTATTATAATTCTAAATCTAGTTAAAATATAAAAATATTGAGAGGGTGGGAAGTTATTGAATAAAGAGAAAATTGTGGGTCTATTTGTACTTGTGGAAAATCGTTGTACTCCCTAGTTTATGAGTGACATAATTGGATTTTGATCCAATCATTTTAACTAATAATACACAAAGGCACACATTTTACGACATGCACACACAAAAACACAAATGAAATGTACATATTTGTGATCCTGTAGAACACAGCCAGTCCGCTTTATTTGTATAATTTCATGTTCTTGGCAAATTTATTTAGCGAAACTTTGATGTGGGTAAATTTTCTTGCTGTAACGATCTTTACTTTTTTAACCATAGCATCTTCGGGCAACTAACAAAAGACGTTAGACACAATATATAATAAAAACCTTTGAGATTATTATAGTCAAGTTTATTTGACTTATTCTTAGAACCTGAGTTTTGTCTGTATTTAAAGTTTATTCTTGGTTATTTTAATAGCAAAAAGAGCAATCTTAGCAACGGTCATTGTTAAAATGTGAATAAACTTCAAATTAAACAAAAAATTTATTGCATACTTGTTCTCCAAAGATTCGATTCTCAAGTTTGGGTGTACAAAAACTCTTAGCTTTTTCAGGGTGTAATACTCACACTACATGCATCAAAGTTAATGTTCAGCTCATGTTTACCGTTACTGTTTCAAGAATTATGTACGTAGTGCCAACCATATGATTCATTTACGGGTATGAAAATTATTCACCCAGACTTTTGAGAGAAAAAAAGAAGATTCGTAATGCACCGGAAATTGAAATTCTTTTAACCAGCCATTGTTGTGCCACATTCATCCATTAAGGAATGCAGTATGAAGGAAAAGAAACTGATCCTAAAAAAAAACTGTTTCACCGCATAAAAAACACAAAGACTAGCATTAAACATGCATCTATTGGATAAATTATTTAGATAAGGTTTAGACAACACCAAAGACATGCTTCTGGATAATTCTCTTCATACTTTATATTATGATAAAAAAAATGTTTTTTTTATCGAATAACTAGCGTTAACTTCCCTCCTAAATTACAACACAATACATCATAATTCGAGTTAGTTATCATAAAGATATTCTATGAAAACAAAAGATTTTGTGCTCTCAAAAAACGGTCTTCAGTTTATCGATGTAGAATTCACAACTCTAAAACCTCAGTTTGTTCGGTTACAGATTAATAATAAAACCTTTAATCTCTTAAAAATAGAATTCTAGGCAAAATTATCTAAACTCTAGTAATTTTTTTTTGAAAATCTTTAATTTGGTAATGCCTATAAATTTTTTATATCCAAATCTTTGACAAATAGTTTAAATTCAATGCTATTATCGCCCGAAAAAAACTTAGAATTGGTTCTCGAGAAAATATATTCTAAAATTTAGAAATCTTACATTTTAGACAATTGATAATACCTTCTTCAAAACTCCAGATGTACTCGAAAAATTGACTTGAGAATTAAGAAGAGAATATTATCAAAAAGAAATTGATTTAAGCTATGCATTTCGAATAAAGAATTATATGATAATGACATAATTAAATTATAATTAATTATTAAAGAAAGAAACTTCTATATAGAGGGAAAAGGAAACCAAATAGCGATATAAGTTATAACTTATAAGAATTCCAAATACTGGTCTTGAAATCATCACGCAATTATCTATTCGTCTTTGAATTTAGACGTCTCCAAAAAGTGCCTCTAAATTCGAAGACGCACCATTCGGATCAATTAACGAGCTATCGTAAATATTATTTGTATGTGTAGTAGCCATATCGTAAGAACACCAATTACTATTTTAAATTATAGTATGTGCCATCCAAAGCAATTGACGAATTTCTGTAAATATTGGCATTAAGTGAATCATCGTAAGAAATCCGATTGCCATTTAAATTAGAGGACGCGCCAACGGAATCGATTAACGAGTTATCGTGATTATTGGTTGTAGAGATATTAAAAGAGTTATTCTAAAGTCCCAATTAAATTAGAATACGTGCCATTAACGAATTACCGTAAATATTGGTATTAAGTGCGTCTTCATAAGAAAATCGGTTGCCATTTAAATTAGAGGACGCACCATTCGAATCAATTAACGAATTACCGTAAATATTGCTTGTATGCGTAGTTGTAGCGTTATTAGCGTAAGGAAGCCAATTGTCATTTAAATAAGGAATCCGATTGCCATTTAACCACGCGTCATCAGATCGCTTAACGAATTATCGTAATTATTGTTTGTACGTGTAGTTGTAATGGTATTAGAAGAGTTAGCATGAGGCCATTTATATGACATTCTGATCAATTAGCGAATTATCGTAAATATTGACTTTAAGTGAATCATTTTAAAAATCCGATTGCCATTTAAACTAGAAAACGCGTCACTAACGAATTATCGTGATTGTCATTTGTAGAGATATTAAGAGAGTTATCGTAAAAAGTCCAATTTAAATAGAATACGTGCCATCCGGATCAAATGACGAATTACCGGAAATATTGGTATTAAGTGAGTCATCGTAAAAAATCCGATTGCCATTTAAATTAGAGGACGCACCACTCGAATCGATTAACGAATTACCGTGAATATTGCTAATATGCGTAGTTGTAGCGTGATTATCGTAAGGAAGCCAATTGTCATTGAAATTGGCGTGTATGGTGCTATCCAAATCAATTAATGAATTACCGTAAATATTGACATTAAGTGAATCATAAGGAATCCGATTGTCATTTAACCTAAAGGACGCGTCACCCAGCTCGCTTAACGGCCTATCGTTACTATTGTTTGTACGTGCCGTTGTAATGATATTAGAAGAGTTATTATGAGGCGTCCAATTGCCATTTAAATTGGAAAATATGCCATTCTGATCAATTAACGAATTATCGTAAATATTGGCGTTAAGTGAATCATCGTAAGAAATTTGATTGTCATTTAAATTAGAGGACGCGTCACCGGGATCGATTAACGAATTACCGTAAAAATTGCTTGTATGCGTTGTTATAGCGATATTAAGAGAGTGATCGTAAGTCCATTCGCCATTAGGATACATTCCATCCAGATCAAATGACGAATTACCGTAAATTTTGGTACATGTATTAAGTGAATCATCGTAAGAAATCCGATTGCTATTTAAATTAGAAGACGCATCACTCGCATCGACTAACGAATTACCGTAAATATTGCTTGTGCGCGTAGTCGTGTTAATATTAGGTGAGTTATCACGAGGAATCCAATAGCCATCTAGATTGGAGTATTTGTCACTCTGATCAATTAACGAATTAAAAGAAATATTGACATTAAGTGAATCATCATAAGAAATCCGATTATCAGGGGACGCCCCATTCGCATCGATTAACGAATTACCATTAATATTGCTTTTATGCGTAGTAGTAGTAGCTACAATGTTATTAATCGAATTACCATAAGCGGTTTGATTGTTATTTTGCAAGCCGGGGGCATTTTTGATATATAGATTTTGATCATCCGTTATGAATATTAAGCCTGTCTGTGGTTTCAAACGTCTTTCTTTTATCTTTTCATACTGTTCATTAAAAATCTTTTTGAAGGTTTTGGGGAGATTTGACCAAGTTTTATTGAATATTCTTGATATAGTATTTGTATTCAAGATGCAATTTTGATTGTTGCAAAACCAATCTTCACTGTTTTCTTTTTTAGACTTTTCACAAGTCCATCTATATAAAAATGATGAATTAGCTTGCTTTCGAGTTATGTTTTTGTATTGAGCAGCTAATTCTTTTTCCTCCAACATCTTTAGTGGCAGCTCATGTCTGCAAATTTCTACTTTGCTTAAACAGTTTATTGTTAAAAGAATTATCATTGGTGGATCTACGCTTGCACGTACTGTATTATAGAAATTGAGATTCGCCATGGGAAAGAATCAAACAAAAACAAGAAATAAATCGGTAAATAGCAAGTAAAAAATTTATATTTGTGAGCGCCTTTTATTAAACTGCTAAATGATCTAAAAAGGAGAACCCGCGTAAATTTATTGTTGCAAGCGAACAGGTACTTTCCTAAAAAAAATGTGTGGAAAACATGAGATGACAACTTTGCGTATTTTAACATATAATAGGTCGAAGTCGTCAGAAAACGATAAACATTTGTGATAAATTATTACTATTTTGGAAATTTATTTTTTTGTAGAACGTTTCACTGTTTCATTCAGACTTTGGTTTACATGATCAACGATCAATGTATTTTTGTGTGTACAAAACCTAAAAAGGCTCGGAAAACTGAAAAAGTAACGTAGTCAAAAGGGGCGGGTCATCCGAAGGTAATTTTGCAAGAAATGTCACAAAAAATCAGGCAGCAAATCCAAAAAAATTCTTCTATATCAACAAGAAGTTTGGTGGCAGAATTAGGTGGAACAGTATCTCAACTGGCTGTTATAAGATATTTGTGAGATCATGACTATAAAAATGATGTCCCAAAAGCTTTGCCAATGACTACGTTGCAACATAAAGAGAAATAGGTGGAGTGAGCCAAAAAACACATGAACGACAATTGGAACAAAACTTTTTTTACAGATGAAACTGCATTCCAACTCTTCCATAACATAATTGGTTAGTGACATAAAGGTCCAAGACCAGTTCCTCAAATTCCTAAAGATAGGAGAAAAATTTTGCGAGGGATGGGTTTGTAAAGTGGGTAAAGTTAAATTTATTTTGTTCTAGAAGAACAATGAATATTAAAATTTTATGTAGATATTTTAAAAAATAATATTGCGAATATTAATACTCTTCTGGAGTTTCAACAGGATAACAATCCGAAACATACAAGCCATCTTGCAAAGTCTTACATGTACCTCGAATCGAATGTTCCTGAAGTTATTGATTGGAAATCTTGTAACCCGAACTTAAATCTGATCAAAATGTATGAAATATAGTCAAAAGAAACGCAGAAAAAAGGAAATCAAAAAATTTGAACCAATTAGAATTATTTATGAAGGAGGAATGGAATTTAATTCTAAGTGATACATTAGAGAGTTTAGTAAAATTAATGAAATGAAAATGTATGCTAATAATAGAGAGTAAAGACAATGCTATTGATTATTAAATTTTTTTAACAAAATACATGTTTTTATCTTTCAAATAAATGTATTTTTATTATAATTAGTTTGATGATTGCAGAGTAATAATAAATTTATTTTTCTGAATAATTTTGAATTACACTGTATTTTGGGAATATGATAAAATTATTTTAAGAGAATTACTTCAACCAATTAAAAATTGCTGAAATTATATCAGACCTGTCTGTATTATATATAAATGAAACTCGCAGTCACGTGATCATACAAATTTCGGTTAGGGTTAGGATTAAAGCAAGATTATACAACGCACAAAAGATATTATTAAAAACGAAATTTCGCAAGAAACATTGTTAGAACAAAAGATGGGTTTCTTAGTTAAACTTTCAAGATACACATCGAATCAGCCGATCTGTTACACAAAAAATCGATAACGATTGTGAGCTCAATACACAGTGAAACTCGATATAACGGACTCTCGATATACCGGATATCGCTTAGTACGGAGATTTTTCATGGAACAAATCCAACACTAATAAAATTTGTCTTGATATACCGGATTCTATTAGTAATCTCTCGATAAAGCCTATAACGGATGCTAACCGAAAAGTACTATATGCCAGTTCTATCAAAAATATACTTGATATAACGGATATCACGTGTTCATAATAAAAAAAACTGATCAATCAATCTGATTGTTGAATTTTCCCATTTTGAGAGGGTGGCATAGAATGTGTATTATCAACGAAATTAGTCTATTATTAATATGATTAGTTAACTCATTAAGTAATAATGTCTTCCACATCTCTATTATTATATACTAATAAAATCAAAAAATCTATAAAATAACTGTCAATAATAATGCTTGTTTAAACATACCAGAAATCAAACCATGACATTCAAAAAAAATAAAATATCTAACTCTGACTTATCAAAAAGAATTACTTTATCAGATTTACAAAAAAAGGAATTATGTAAATTGAAATATGATAATCCAGGCTTAATAGAAGTCAACTTAGTGAAAAAATATAAAATAAGTGAGCAATCAGTATTAGATATACTCAAGCATTCTGATTTCTGGTTGAATCTTGATAATGACACTATTTTAACTTGAGCTAAGTATTAGAGAAAGATTAATATTCCTAACATTAAAGAAGTGATATCTATGTGAGTCAAACGTATAATTTGAAATAGGATTATCATTACTGATCATATTCTTCAAGTAAAAATAAAAGAGTTTACTGATAGATTTGGAACTACTGGATTTAATATATCTGCATGTTGGATTACTAACTTTAAAAAGAGAAACTCTTTTTTTTCATACTGATACAGAGAAGAAATTAGTAGTATACCTTTACAAGATATTCTATATTATCAAGATGAACTTCAAACTCTTCTTCAGAATTATAAATTCAAAAATATTTTCAATTATGATAAGTTAGCTCTTTACTAGTGACTTGAATCAAGCAAAATGCTTACATATAACAAAATTAAAATTATATTAGATTTATATTTTATCTCACAGATTATTGTTGCACTATATATTATGTCACACATGACTTACTGCATCACAATTATCTGATTATGCCAAGAAAAGTCATATAATATATTTGAGTTATTTTAGTTATAGATAGTTTTCTTAATAGAATTTCTCTTTTCTCTTATTCTACTAACTTGGCTAGTATATTACTAAATTTATATATTTCATTTATAATCATTTATTTCTTTATTTATTTATTAATAAGTGTCTTCTAGAGATACTATCATATAAGTATTATCTATTATTAATTTATTTATTTTATTATTAATTTTATATAATATTAATTTATTATTTAAAGATACTGTATCTGTTCTGTAATTTTAAGTAACAAAGTATCAATATATTAAATAAAGAATAAGTTTAAAAATATAATCTCTTGTCTACTTTTGATTTAGTTTTCTATGTGAATTCTATTTTAATAACATTACTATATATTTTGAATCTTCTGTGTGAATTTTCCTAATATAATATTATATTCTGACTTTTCTGTGTGAATTTCCAGATATATTATATTATGTAACTAGAAGATTATATTACATATACTTCTATTTGAAGAAAAAAAATTAAAAGATCAAATTACTCTTATGATTACTTGTAATACTATTGATGATGAAAAATTATCTTTTATCTTTATTCATAAATATGAAATATCACATGCACTTCATAATATTAAAAAATTTATGCTTTCTGTTTGATATTATTAAAATAAAAAAAAATGAATGCAGAAAAGTATCTTTAATTATTTTTTGCAATAATTTAATAAATAGATAAGATATATCAGATGAAACATTATTCTTTTTCTTAATAATATATTATTATATAATATAAAAATCATTCAAAGTCTTTCTAATATTTATATATACTTTTTACTGTTTAATATAACATCTTGCCTTTAACCCATTAATCAAAGAATTAGTTATAATCTTAAAGTAATTTTACATATGAAATTTACTATATAAACTGTGTTAAATTTAATATAAATATTTATTATACTGTATTTTTCTTTAAACATAATATCAATATATTTTATATCAAAATTATATTAATACTTATGATTAGTAATAAAAGATATAACTAGTCATAATTCTATTATAATTCTCTGATTAGCTATCATAACTCTATCATAATTTTCTGATTGATTACTACAAGTTACAACTAGTTGAGAAGCTATCTTTACTTACAATACTATTACTAAAAAAAATTCAATCTTATCTAACATTACTATATATAATTTAATTAACTTTACAATATATTGTTACAGTGAATTGATAAGTGAGTTTTCATTTTGATTCACTCTAATGATATAGAGTTGGGAGAGACTGAAATAATAAAAGGTAACGAGAAGGGAATTAGACTATAACTTTCAATAATAACAAAGATTTCTAAGACCTATGTCAATATCTACGGATATTATCTTAACAAAAGAGAAATAAATAAAGAAAGAATAAATTAAATCAAAGAAATTATAAAGATTGACTGAGTGAAGCCACTAGTAATTGATATAATTCAAGATTTGAACTGATTAAA